CTTCCTGTTTCGAAGTACATACCTACTAGCCATGATCATATAGAAAACCATACCGTATGTTTCCATCACGCTACCCAGTTGAGAAACCAAGAGGGATTTCCATCCCCTGAGTGATGCTCTGAACGGTGCAGGAGATGGAGGCTCTGCGAGGGCATTATGGATCACTTGCGAGGTGAATTGCGCAACATCATGCGCCATGTTTCCAAGCATCCCAAGGTACTGGCAAGATCGGACGAACATGACAGCGCTGCTGTTTGTGGACATTTTGTTCAATTGGAGGCACTCCAAGTGGAATTATTGAACAGATCTTTCCGGGACAAATATACAAATTTCAGCTATGTCATTTGGGCAACAAGTAGGATCGGTCAGGTGATATCGGAATGCAGAGGATTATGATTTGCGAAACGAAGATTGTTGGAAATTTCATCACGGCATTCTGACTATCAAAATGGTCATTGCAGGTTGCGCAAGGACTTTGGGTTCCTGCTGCTGTCAGGATCACTGAAACACACATCATCAAGAACACACCCTTGATTCCACCCACTTACAACATCCCGTCACTTTCTTGTTATAAATGTCGGGGATTACACAATGACCATCCGGTAATTGTAATATTTCAATGTGTCACGAGTATGGGGTATGTTGGCGTCTCGTATCTGTTACTTCTACGATGATTCAGACAAAGACTCCGATGAACTTTCAACAACGTTCCCTCCTTCATCGGTACGTGCACACGGACCCGCACCACCTACCATGGACGTCAAACTCTGAGGGATAGTAACATCAGACAAAGCTACCACCGGTAATTGAACGATATCTTTCATTAGTGAGCTCATGTCCTGGATCTGGTTCGGCATGTGTGATACATGGCTCTGGAGGTCGCAACTTTGCCTCCTTAAGGTCTCACATTGTTCCGTGAGCAACTTGTTTTCATTCAACAGCTGTAGTGCCCCCCCACCGTGCTTGAAAGCGGTGATGTGTTTTTGAAGTCCTAAGATCTTAGTGTACACCTTGTGATATGCTGCTGATACTGTCTTAGGTTTGGGTACTGTCCCCCCAACGTTTGCATCTCCCTCCAAGGTTTCGACCCGGTGCTCTAGGTCTAGAACCCGATCCGATGCGGCCGTCCCGTGCTCTAGTTCTTCAACTTGTTCTAGCATCTCCTTTAGCTTGGAGTCAAAGGCTTCCTTCGACTCCTCACTTGTTTGCTTCACATCTTCAACCTGCTTCCCACAATGTGACGCCTTGTTCTCCACTTCTTCCACCCTACCCTCCAGAGTTACTAGTGTCTGAATCACCCGCAGGTCCGCATAGTACTTGGCAGACGCACCATCAGACAGTTGCTTCTTCAATTCAGACATCTTGTTGTTTTCTTGTGCTGAAGCCATCAGCACGCTACTTACGAATATCAAACTTAACAATTGAATTCCTACCTTGAGGTGCTACCTGTGATGACTGACTATTACCAAACGTATGAAGGTGACTCTGGTGCAAATATCTCTGGCAATGGTCGTGACCGATGTAAAAACTCGTTGATTCGTTCCAGTAGGCCCTTCCACACACTGTTGATAACCCCAGGTGAATTATCGTCTCGCAGATGTTCCATCAACCTGATTTTGCTCATATGCCAATGATCATTTAAGAGTGTGTCTAGATCTTCAGCCAATGCCGCGCGAAAGTCTACAGCATCTAGTAGTAGTGATATGTCCCTGACGGACCCCATTAAGGTAATAGCGCTGGTAGCAACGTGTGGCCTCTTCCTGATTGTGATATCATTCCACAAGTGGATCCCATTAAGTATACTGTGAGCAGACGTTACCAGACACCTGATTTCGGCTAGTTTCGCCTTCCAAGCTATGAATTCTGTCACAGCTAGGTTTATAGATCTGACCTTTGACTTAGACTCGGGATCTCTGAATACCTTACTGGCAGCTCGAGCAGATCCAGAGGACATTGTTGTGATTGCGCGATACTCCGATGCCAGGTGCACAATGTGTGATAGTCGACCTCTGAGTAGAGGTAGACTTAGGCCGTCGTCGACTTCTGGCTCAAAATTTGGACATGTTCTTGGGGTTTGCGTGTACATATTGAAGTCTGTAGTGTTGGGGTTATAACACACGTTCCTAAGAAGTTTGTACCTCAAGATGGACTTGGTATTGGTGGGTCATCAGTCGTTACTGTCGTATTCTTGGCATCACATCTCACTTTAATACAGAATTCGTGCATTGTAAGGTCGAGTGTGATGGCTTCTCAACGGATATTATAGGGGTGACGTGGTACAAGTGCTAATGCAGTTCCTCGAGGGATTTTGTCAAATCAAAGTGGACAAAGTGCAGTGATCTAGTTTTCGGCTTATACTCTGAACACACATTCAAACTTGTTCTGGTCATCTTGCGAGGATCAAAAACTAGTAATGACATCTATATTGGCATTTTAAAGTCCACATCTCGTCCATTCAGATCATGTGATATTGATTACGAGATTACTTCTTTCGCCCACCACTCTTTCGTCGATGCTTTGATGGTGCAGGTGCTTTCTTAGATCTCTTATACTTGTCTTTCTTCTTCCTCTTTACTTTGATGTACTTTGATTCAGATTCTGACTCTGAATCTTCGTCTGATGTCGAATTACCACTCGACGACGACCCACTGGCATCAGATTCGCTAGTACCAGATGACGACCCGGAAGACGATGATTCTTGTCGTGAGCGCTTTCCCACAAGGTTACTTTCAGTACTAGGTCGCTTTCCTACCAAGTTAGTATTTCTACTCGAGCTTGCTGGAGTTTCTCCAACCGCTGCCCTGGGCCTGACCCCAGTACTTGGCGCGACCCGGCCCACCTTTGTGGTACTGCTGCTGCTGGCGCTACCTCCTACAGCACGCTCCTTACTCCCAACCCGTTGAAGGCACCGGGAGGCTGCCTTAGTACCATCATGTGTCTTGCTCCTCGCAATAGCGAGCCTCATGCACTCCCCAGGAGGACGCACAGGAGTCGAAGACGACACGGGTGCCGGTACTGGGATGGTACTTGACGCAGAAGCACTCATCTGCTGCATCATCCCAAAAAACTGCATCATTAGAGCCGTAGCATCCCCAGGAGTATTTGGTGCTGTTGCACCCAACACTGGAGGCACTACCCCAGGAGTATTTGACACTGCTGCACCCAGCACTGGAGGCACTACCCCAGAAGTATTTGTAGTTGTTGCTGTTGTTGTTGTGCCCGCCGCTGGTGGTGCTATCCCAGGAGTTTTTGAGGTTGATCTCAATACCGGAGGGACTACTTGTGAAGTATTTGTTGACAACAAACTGGTGCTACTTGTACCCTGAGGTGCTGCTTCTACACTTCGACGTTTAATGATGGGGCACCCATCACCACGAGGAGTTACAGCACCCGTTTTGGATATTGTTCCAACACTTCTAATACCCTCCCTAGTAGTACTGTTCTTATTATTTTCTTGGATGTGATCTTTTTCTGCTTCTCTCCTGGGTGTCGATCTTACTCTACACCCGTACAAAGAATCACTCAACTTTTCATCCTCGTAGTTGGTGTCTCGATGTACTTTTGAGCTGACCCCCTCCCTGGTCCTCAGATCAACATCCCGAGGTCGGATGTACCCCCCAGAGGTATTCTCAAACCGAGCCTCCTGACCCCACGACCCTTGAGGTGGAACTCCACCACTACCACGGGCTGCATCCCATACGTGATCGTCAGTGAACCTGCTACCACCAACTACGCTTGAGGATGCATTTTTGGAGAACAACCCAGTTTTTTGGGACACAACAGCACCCGAGGGAGGCTGATGTTTGTAGCTACTAGAGGCGTTCTCGCGACTGTTCCCGCCAAAGGTGCTATTATCACTCTTCTTCCCATATTGGTACTGGTATTTTGACGTAGAACCCTCCCACCAACTAGATGAGGAACTTCCACCTTGCTTTGACGACGGTGGATACTTTGATGATGAGCTTCCACCTTGTTGATATTGGTACTTTGACGAGGAACTTCCACTCTGGTGGTATTGGTGCTTTGATGACGAGGAGCTTCCACCCTGGTGGTATTGGTGCTTTGATGAGGAGACTCCACTCTGACCTTCAGATCTGTGCCTCTCCTCAAACATTTGTCTCCTCATTGGATCTTCTGCTGGTTCGATATCAGAGAAAGCTTTTGGGTTCAATACCCGATTACTCGAGTATTCAAAATCTTTACTGGTTTTAGGTCCCCCACCAACTTCCCTATCTATGACTCGATGCCATTTTCCCGTTGCGTGCTCCTCAGCCGTCTTTTGTTCGAGTTCTTTCTTCGACTTTGAAGATAACATATCCACATCACTGGTTGGGTGATCTTTTATGATGTCTTCCTTCAGCCTCCAGGCACCAGTGGCTTCAGGATACCTCACAATCAACCCCAACTCCACCATTCCACGAAACACGTGGTACAACCCACCAGAGATGTTTGCATTTTTTAAATGCGCCTTGGTGAACCCAAAGTACGATCCTACCTTCCTGATTTTGGAAGTTGCCATTGGTCTTGGTGGGATGTCACACCCAACAGGTCTCCCTACAATATCCCCATCGTCACTTGTCAGTAGACTTTCATCCAACTCATTCCCTTTATTCGTACGAGATTCTTCATTCCCCTCAGCTTCCGTCCCCCCGGAAGTCTGGATGACATTGTTACCACTTGCATCCCCTGAGGTTTCTTCGGACCTTATAGGAGGACCAGGGGCACCCTGGTCTCCGTCAGTCACCTCTTCTACGACGGTAGTACCTTCACCGAAGTCTTCCTGCACCAAATCCCCCTCCGTCATCTTGTCATCGACAGAAGTCATCT